ATCTATATATATATATATATATGTTGCCAGGGTCTAGGGCCTAGCGTTCACTCCATAAGCCAACTCACAAAGTGACAAACAAACAAGTACAGTAGATCAATAGGTACATCACACAGTACACGATTACACTGCACAACTGTCAACGTAATGGCTAGTACACAATTACAGACGTATGCATGCATCGATGTATGGATGAAGGATAAAGAAAGGTTCAGGGATTCGGTGGGATTTCGGTTATACGTCGCTATACCATTCTGACTGGCTCCATTACTCTTGCCGTTAGCAGTGCTGCTAGTGCATGTGCTGTTAGTGTGCCTCATCTTTGGCTACTGCAACGACTGTCTTACTAGATCTGCATCGACCACATTCCAATATTCTACTCGCTCTTGTTGCTGTTCTTGCCACTCTTGGTTCTGATGGGCAACAAAGAGCTTGACTGAGTCGAAAGCCGTCAGATTCAGCCATGGCTTTCCCGGCGGTATGCCGTATCGAGCCTGCAGATCACAGGCTTTAGGGTTGAGGGCTTTTGACGTCTTTAGACGGTTTTGTTTTTTGCGACGGCGGCTAGCGGTCACAATCCCTAATCGGGCTTTGCGGGTTTGGGGCTCACCGTTTGAAAGTTTCTTGTTTCGAAAGCCTTGTCCTACTGCCTCTTAGGGATCCTAACGGAATCTCTAGACTCTAGAATTCGGAATCCAAGGTTTAGTTTAGGGTTAAGGCTTCAAGGTTCATCTTCCCCATGGCGCCTCGAAGGTGGAGCCTCCTTGTGTGAAGAAGAGCTGAACTGCGTGGTCTGCTGGCGGCAGATCCACTGGCACCTGCTTCAGAGCATTCTACCGCAAGGGAACACCATCCACCATCTGGAAACTTGACTTCATTCCCCGACCTTGCATTGCACTTCTCGTTGCGAGATGTAGACCTCGTCGGTACGTATCAACACCATGCGCACAGCTCGGGCAGTCTCTGTCCCAGAACAGTCAGACGAATGCAAAGAAGCAATAGTCAGCCGGACAGTACCTCACTGTCTTTCTTACTGCGACTGCAGCAGGCTGGGAACTGTTGGCTAGGCGTTCCACGGCCGTTGCTGTCCTCACGCCTGCACATGGATCAAGAAGCGCAAATCAGCGCAAGCGAGAAGAAGCAGTCGGTGGATCAAAGGCCTGTGTCGTTGGTGAGGTTGTTGGGGCTTGTGAGGTTCCTGGCAGCACGATGCGACAGAAATTGGGTCCGTTATGTCTACCGCATCATTGAGCTCAGCCGCCGCCCCCAACAAGGACTCATAGGCTGCCGCCCATGTGGAACTGGGCCCCTCACCAGGAGAACGTACAGTACCCAAATGCCGGTGCCAACCTGATGTCTGAGTCTCAACACAATATATTCAGCTTTAGTACACAAACACATTTCCATGTCTGTACACAGGTATGTATGCATATTCACATGCATCATGTGCACGTGCACGTGAGCAAGTCTGCAAGCATGTCTGCAGGCAAGAAGTAAAACAACGCACGCGCGCGCGAAGTCAGAAATGTGCGTGTATGCATACACGAATATGTATACATACGGTGGTGTGCTGCGTGCATGCCTATGCGCATGAGCGCCGCTCCAATCACATGTCGTGTATCCACATTGATACTGATACTGGATTGGCCCGGTAAGACTTTGAAGACATGGCACATACTGTTGCAAACCTGCTCCCAGGAGCAACACAATGATCTGAATCGCAAGCAGTCTTGAGCCTTTAGGCGCTCTATCAGGGTATTGATGCCTAGAGCTATAGGGCTTAGTGTTTAGATATTTTTTTCGGGGGGGTTGGGCTTAGGAGGTATTGGCTTGTAGCTTCTGAATTCGGAGCTCAGCCGAGGACTGTCGCAAGGCCATAAAGTCCCCACCCAGCAGGGATATCGTTTCGCCTGCAGCTTAGGATTTGACTCTTCTTTTGAAGTTCGAATTGCAGCCCCATGGTCTTCTTGACTTAAGAGCTTGAATCTTTTCATTCAACACAGCCGAGGGAGCACGGACACCCGCAGCCCCCGCGCACGCATGCGCCCTGGTTACTCCAGGTCGGTTTGTGAAAAAGACACGATGACGTCACGGTTTTGGACTGAAACATTTCCCTGTACTGAACCTGAAAACTGTACCTCCCTCTCTCCCTCCCTCGCGCACTGACTCATTTGCAGGCCACGAGAGGATCCCTGACCTTCCCAAGTACCATTATAGTAGGTACTCAATAGGTATTTGGGCCCCAGAAGTATATACTATACTATTGATTGGACCCTCTTGGCTTCAGAATCCCTCAATTGCCCCAGGCCTCGGCCAACCCGGGCGTGAGTTGGAGTGAGCAGCGCAGCAAGAGGCCCGCTTCCGCGGTGGAGGATCGTCTTAGACGTTGGAAGGCATGAAAGGCTTGTGCAATCAACTCAGCACGAGAGCGGTCTCCGTATTAGTTATAGAGTCACATGTATGTGTGTGTGTGTGTACATACATGTATATGTATACATATATATATATAGAGAGAGAGAGAGTTCCACCCATACGTTCTCAGCTTTGTGTAGATTAGATTGGACAGATGGGACCATGCACAGGACCCTGGCCTGCCGTTTTCGTTACATGCCCGAGGCACCACATTGCTGTCCTGTTCCCGGTGCCCAGCGGGAAATGCCACCACGATGATGATGCTAGTAACGATAGCGGTGATACTGGTGATGATGATAAGTGATGATGATGGTAATGCTGATAAAGAAGAAGATGGTGATGATGGTGGTGATGATGAAGATGAAGATGAAGATGAAGATGAAGATGAAGATGAAGATGAAGATGAAGATGAAGATGAAGATGAAGATGAAGATGAATAATAATATGAAGATGATGATGATGATGATGATGATGATGATGATAATGAAGATGATGATGAAAATGAAGAAGATGATGATGATGATGGTGATGAGGATGATGAGGAGGAGGATGAGGATGAGGATGAGGATGAGAATGGTTCTGGTCATGGTGACGGCGAAGATGATGACGATGCTGGTGCTGAAGATGAAGATGTTGATGATTTTCCGGACACTGAGCTCCTCAGTATTCGTCCCAAGAACGTAAGTTCCCGACAAAAGACAAGCCGGCCGCGGCCACCGGATGGAAATTCCTGCATGTGCTCGCTGCGAAGCTGCATTTCGCCGACTAATTGCGGCCAACGTTGGCAAAACCCTCAACCCTAAATCCCAGACTCTTAACCACATAGCCGTAAACCCTGTGAGTAGAACCCCGAAGCACAAAACCGAACAGCCCCATATACCAAAGTATAAAACCCGGATCTGAAAAAATTGACTGATTTAACACCCGAAGACTTGAGAAATCAATCCAAAAAAAAGTTAAAGGCGTAAAACCCTGCCCTAATGCTCCTGAAAACCCCAAAACCCCCAAACTCCAAGGCCCATAGTCTCAAATCATCTAGCCTACAGCTCCTAAACCCAAACACGCAAACCATGAACCCTAAAACCCCAAGACCCTAAACCCTAAAACATCTGAAATGCAAACACCGAAACTCCCATCGCCTGCCCCCATCGAAGGAGATTCTCGAGAGCCGGTCCACTGAACCAAGGGCACCCCTCGGTGGTCCGGGAGGGTTTAGGGTTTAGGGCTTAGGGTCTAGGGCTTAGGGTTTAGGGTTTAGGGTTTAGGGTTTAGGGCTTAGGGTTTAGAATCTGCGTGCTTGCTTTTTTCAACTATTGATGAGTGTAGTTTGAAGCTTCAGAGTTATGCCTTCAGGGCTCTGGGGTTTAAGGCCCGACTGACTCTGAGGTTTAGGGGCCTGCAAACAGGTTGTAGTTGTAGGTCTGCTTAGGATTTTGACTGTAGGCTTCGAGGGACCAGTGGGATGTTGACGAGTCATCCTGCCCGGGGCCATGGAAACAATAGCTAGTAGAGTAAGATTAAGTTAACTAGTATCCTATACTCTAGTGTAGTATCAGCGTGGAACTGTACAGTACGGTATAGTACAGCACACGATCGTAAAATGAAACGCCGAAGCCTATGAACTCGCAACATACAGAGAGCTGCATTCTTGCGGCCAAAGTCGCGTGAGCTGGAGGATGGGCAGCACGCTGGGAGAAGTGCAGCGCAGCTCCGTATCTGGGAACAGACCATGGCTTTGGGATCTAGGGCAAATCCTTGAGGAACATGCCATAAATCATACTAAGGACCCCTTAAAGCTATCTTCGGGAATTAAGGGGTTGGGGTCGATGGGATGCTTTGGAGAGTTTTGAACCCGCAGGAAAACCGCTGGGACCCGAGCCCAAGTCCCTGTAAGCAAGGAATGCAGTTGAAACTATGCAGTGCCTGTTGTGACTGCAGCTATGCTGAATATGCTTTCCGACTGCTTCAGTACAGTATGAATATACACTGATTGAAATGTTACACATGCATACGTGTACATCTTAGATGTACACACACACACGCACGTGTATGCATATATACATATATATATATATATGGATATATACAGATGCACGCGCACATTTAATTGCTGGTGGTCGATTTATGCATGTTTATGTGCAACTATACAATGTACATACCATAGATATCTACACATACACACACATGTGTATATATATATATAGAGAGAGAGGGAGAGAGAGAGAGAGAGAGAGAGAGAGAGAGCGAGAGAGAGAGAGAGATGCAAACATGTATATACACAAATGCTCCCTCATTGTGGCGCAGTGGCTCTATGGCAAAGGAAGTCCCGAACTGCCTGAGAGGAGTGTGCCCGGCGTGACGACGCGCGTGAGAGACCAGAAGCACTGCACTTGAGACCTGCACCGGTAGGGCTTAGTGCTCGGGGTTTAGGGTTTAGGGTTGAGGGTTTAGGGTTGAGTTTAGGGTTAAAGATTATGCGAGGTGTCTTTGGGATGCAGGTTTGCGGCTCAGGCTTTGGTGTTTTAAGGCTATTTTGGGTGCAGAGATTTGGGGGCGAAGGGTTCAAGGCTCTGGGCAGCGAGTGTCGGGCCTACGGATTTGAGTCTTTTTGTTCAGGGGCCTTGTGTTTCTGCATAACTGCTTGAACATGCTTACCGAAAAGGCCAAGATCCCCATCCCATTCTGCTGAACTCCCCAGCCTGTTCGCGATGTCCATCGGGAAGTACTCTCCCTGGCAGCTCTCTGAGTCATGGTTTCGGGCTGGAAGAAAAGAAGGTGCAGATTGGGGCTTGTGGAGCGAAGAATAGATCAAAAACTAGTCCGAGGAAGTGACTGGAGCACTGCATGACACCTTGACCAGGGAGCATACGAATCAACTTCATACCAACACAGATTCCCATGTGTATCTTCCCTCGCTACCCTTGTACTCTGCCAGCAGCTACGGATTAAACTGTTTGCAGCCACACCTGGTACTCGCAAGATGCCCGACTCTACCAGGCTCTACCATGCTTAGATTGAGCTCTAATCCCACCGATCCGGGAAGATCCCAGCGCCGAGGAGCACGACCTGCTAAAAACCTCTGTTCAGTGTTTAGAGCTATGTCGGTGGAGGGCCTAATCATACTGTGTGGATTTACCAGGTTTGTACCAATGGCAGAATACTCTGCAGCGCCGGACAAACATCGACGGAACTCTGTAAAGCCTACCTACAGCCCTGCAACATCTCTACTGACACCGCAGACGAGGCAACGATGGGCAACAATAAACACTACGTTTGCCCTAACCCTTACTTCCAAATCACCATAAGACTCCAAAACATCCCAAACCGCCCCACCTGCAAAAGATTACAGCTCCACACATAGACTTTGTGAAACCTTCAAAGATCATAACATCCTGAAATCCTGAAACCCGGGAGAGTTCTCAACACTAAAGCCCAAATGCCAAAAAGCATCCGTCATATCACCTTGTGACAAGGTCAGGTGCCGAGCAGATGAATCGTTAGAACATGCATTTCACATCCCTGAACCCTAAACTTAAAACCCTGAGATTGAAAGCAAAAAACACAACAACCAGGCCGCCGAGTAGCGCACTATACAGGGGCCTTAGTGATTAGAAACGGGGTTTGGGGAGGATTATAGTATATGTATATTCAGGAACCCTAAGAAATCATATTGGCAACTATTTCTGCTTCTATGTTACTGGCCGCTCCATAAAAAAAGATCAAAGGCTCATGCGATAGCGGCAGCGTCACCGCGTGACAGCAAGCCGGAGCTGAGCCATGCACCAGTCTACAGCGAAATGGTCGAAAGCCCTGAACCCTTGAAGCCCGACATACCCTAAACCCTAAAATACCCTGAAAACCCTAAAAACCCTCAAAACCCTAAAAACCCTGAATACGCTAAAAACCCTAAAAACCCTAAAAACCCCTTAAACAAAACCCTTTCAAAAAGAAGTCCTGCCTTGACCACCAGAGGCAAGTTCAGCGATCCGAAGTTGGGCACCAGCCGATTGAAGGTGGGAGATCTGACAAAGAGGAAAGAGAGTCTCAAAGGTTAGTTAAGAAAAATACTGATATTATCAATGACTAAATTTTATCAATGACTAAATTTTATCAATGACTAAATATTAGCAATGACTAAAGATTAGCAATGACTAAATATTAGCAATGACTAAATATTCTCAATGACCAAATATTACCAATGACTAAATATTATCAATGACTAAATATTATTAATGACTAAATATTATTAATGACTAAATATTATCAATGACTAACTATTATCAATGACTAAATATTATCAATGACTAAATGTTATGAATGACTAAATATTATCAATGACTAAATATTATTAATGACTAAATATTATTAATGACTAAATATTATCAATGACTAAATATTATCAATGACTAAATATTATCAATGACTAAATGTTAT